ACAGTAGTAGCCATTCAAAATTTCCCCCACTTTCCTTGATGGGCCCTTGGCTGGTCCCCTACAATTAATTTTTAAATATCAATCTTTGTACTAAAATATTCTTTATGTCATGATTTGTTAACATCATGATCCAAAGAGAAGCGTGATCTCCTGGTCAGACCCTGTAATTCAGTGAAAGGGTGGTCAGAGTAAAAAAATACGCAAGCCGAGGAGAAGGCCCGTGGCTGGAAGTTGGAGGGGATTTGCTGCCATTCGGCTGGCTTTTGACTGGGAAGAGCCATTTTTAATGGCTGCTACTGTATGTACCAACCTCATGAGAACCAACAGGTCTTATGGGGTCCAAAGTCTACTCCTGATGTAGAGGACCCCCAATTTTAAATGTTATGGGGTCGATCTATAGGTATCTACTGATAATAGTTAGAGTTAGGATAGATGTTAGGGTTTGGCATATGAAGGTAAATGTAAATGCCTTATATGTGCAGAAATAAAAGCTTGTGTTTGTTGGAGGCTTCTTTGTTACATTGTGGGGACATTGTTTCTCAGGAATAGGACACAATGCGGGGTCTTACAGCAACTGGTCCCCGTGGGGAAAGGTTCACGGGTCCTGATCAGATTTACTGTAGGACTAACGTGTGAATCGTCTTTAGTTTAGCGTTAGGGATACGTATGTGTTTGTTATGGGTAGGGTTAGGATGAGGGTCTGAAATAGGTAATGAAAACGCATGGAAAGTCCCCATAAGGATAGTGGGACATAGGATGTGTGTGTGTGTGTGAGGCTGAGCATCTGTTAGTCCTCAAGTTCAGTACAGAATAAAATAATTATTAAGGCAAGCCTGGTTCAAACAGAGATTTCAAAGAGAGTGTGTGTTTGGATTTGCTTTCCTCCATTTGTGGGGTCTGGCAGCTTATTGAGTACCCCCCCTTTCCCTCCCTCCCTCCCTCCCTCACCCTATGGGGTGACATTCTTTGCCAAGGTGTGAGTCAGACATGTGTTCAGATTCAGATCTGGTGTTCTCTCAGGAAATCCAAGGGAAACAGAGGAAGCTAAAGCATCTATTGTTATTGGGACAGCGTTTGCATCTCATCTGCTACTATTCAGTCCAATACATGCTGAAATAATTACCGCCAGAGTAGAAAGACCCGGTTTGGGGGGCTGTAATTAGGATGTGAGATGTGAGTGTACCTCTATGGCAATCTGGAACTGTTCATGCTCCCTCTGCAGCTGTTCGGCCTCAGACAGAGAGCTGGCATTCACCATGCTGGCGTTCAACATGGACTCGCCGTTCCGGATCCAGCCCAGTACCTGCAGGGCCACAGAGACACACAAGCACAACAGAAACAGCCTGTTAGCGTAGCACAGGTGGACACAGCCCATCCGTCCCTCGGCTCTTTACTGCAGGCTTGTCTTTCTGTCCAGAAAGAAATTTCTACAACCAGTACAGAGACTGCATCTTCTCTTAACAACATTTGGCATGATGGCATTAATGGTTTTATTTTTAGTTCATTCTATTGTTTTTATGCTCGCAAATTTTTGTATTTTGTGTTTCATTTGTTTTGGTTTTTTTCACTGTGGGGAACGGGCCTCAACAATGTTCTATTCAAATGGATTTATATAAGAGATTAAAAGTTATTAATTACATTTGCCCGTGTAACTTTACAAACTAATTTACTTTTCAATTCATTACTTTACTGCACTTTTTTAATAACTGTTTGTGACTGTTTTCTATTATTTTCCTTCAGGTCACAGTTATTGAGAATAATATTGTTGTTGGAATATCACTGCTGTTACTTCAGTAAAAATTGAGAGGCCAGTTAAAAATAACTAATAACTGTATAATAATTCTTACCTAACATAAACACATTACCTACCATTAGGATTTCTACCGGTAAGTTTATGTTGATAAGGTTGGTTTGTAAAGATGTTGTAGTTTTGTAATCATCATCATCTTATGCAAAACATTATCTATTGTCACTCATTTTCTTTTCTCTCACTGTGCAATAACCCGAGTTAACTACTGTAGTTTGTGTAATTTCTTACTTATTTATATGGTCAGTACATTTCTGCACAACAAGTGCAATAATCTAAGTTAACTACTGTATAGTCGTTCCTTAGCTCTCTACTGTGCAGATATTTTATATCTAAGGGAAACATATTCCAGGACATTACAGCTTTATTCTTTTTTAATGCTTTTTTATGCTTTTTTGTACCATATACACTCTTTCTACAGTATATCGTCTGTTGCATTTTGATCTTTAATGGCATCGTGCTTTAACTCTTTGTACTCTATATAGGCTACTGGAACCAGAATAGGAGTAATCCCAAGGAATAAATAAAGTTGAGTCTAAGCCTAAGTCTATCATGTTATCTATTTTTGTACTTTTATATCGTGAATTACTCAAATTTGACAATTAATCTATTTGATTACATAATTGTAAACATAAAATCAGATGTTATCTGCAAAAATGAGGGTTAAAGGGAAAATTGGATTCCCCTAAACTGAACGCTGAAGAATAAAAAATTGTTTGAAATAACTAAATACTATGAATGTTCCCACATTAGTTTGACCTTTTTAGCAGGCGGGGAGAATGACCTGATGCTCCTCTGTCCCACCCTCTGGTGGCCAATCAGAGCTTAACACAAACAAACGGCCAAATGGAGGGGAGAGGGCATGAACCAGTGACTGTTTGTGACTGTTTTCTATTATTTTCCATCAGGTCACAGTTATCAACTGTTTAGTCATAAACATAGCAAAGGCAGAGTCAAAGGTTTTCTGTTGACAAGAAGTTAATCAAAGCTTAAATAACAGCATCCAGCTGGAGGAACGGCACCAGAAATTTGCTTCCAAATAAAAAGGTTTGCTTTAGACTGAGAAGAACATGAACAAAGATATCTAAAAGGTGTGGTAGATACTTATATGGTGATATGACTAACTGAACTATTCATGTTCAATTGATTCCTGCTCATTTAACCAGTAACTCAACTGATAATCTCAACTTTTAAAAGAAAAGTCCGCTCATATTCAGAATTCAAACTTCTGAAGGTGCTTTAAATATGAAATTATTACATTCAGTTCAATAAATTATAAATTAGTTTTTAATTAAGG